AGACGAATTGGATCTTATAAGTAGACATCATCTGCATTTTCAGCAAGATAGCGCACCTGCCCACAACTCCAGAGGTACTTATCATTTTCTAAGTACTACTTTTAATGATCAGTGGATAGGAACAAATGGCCCAATACAGTGGCCTCCCAGATCACCAGATCTAAACCCACTTGATTACTTCTTGTGGGGTTACTTAAAGAACCAAATTTACAAGCGAAGGTACGATAACCTTGACGCGTTAAAGACTGCAGTTAGGGAAAAGATAACCCAGATAGATGGTAGGACCATACTTAAGACAGTTCGAGCAGTTGAAAAACGTGCCCAAAAATGTATTGAAGAACAAGGTGGTGTTTTCGAGCATCTTCTTTAAAAAAAATTGTTATTGTATTTTGTAAGATTATAAGTTGATGTTGAAAATAAAGTTTGTCGATACAATTTAATTGTTTCAGATTGGAGGCCATAACTTCAACAATTTGTAACCTAGGAGAAAAGTTATTGTAAGCTTTTTTGTTTAAAATTTGATGCTTTAACAGAAAAAAATATAATATACAGGGGTTTCCATTTAAAAAAATGTTATTTTACTGAAAAAAATCAAAATAACGACTCTCAATTGTTTTTTTTTATTTCTCATTTTTACCAGCGTTAAAAATGCTACTAGTTTGCTAATTCAAACAACTTTGTATTTTCACTAATAACAAAGTTACTAATGGTGGACACTTAATTTGGATAACCCTGTATATAATACGTGTATATATATAACTTGAGACGTGGTCATTGTCGTCTACACCAGTTAGGTGAAAAATTAAAGCTTCCGCCTTTTGTTGGGTACTTCGACAAAATTTAAGCTAAGAGGACTCTTTATACTTTTTTAGTACTCTCTAGCTTTCAATGGACTTTGCCATCATCATCAGGAGCTGCAATTACAATGATAACAGTAGCAACAAAAGTGTAAAATGAATTTAAATTGACTCAACTTACAGTAGTATGTGAGGATGTTGCTAATTTTCATGAATAACAATTGTACCAACAAAAAGACAGATGTTAAACAACTGAGTGTCATTTACTCATATTTGCGAAACTGCGAAAAATTGGAGAACTTACATATCTCCCCAAATTTCGACTCTTCACAACCATAAATAGAATCTGTGTTTTGGCCGATTCCACCAGTAAATTTCATTCCACTCAAAATATAATAATTCTCTTCTCACGATTTATTAATAATTGTTAATTTAAATTCCCATTAATTAAAATATAGTTTATTCAACTGCATCTGGTCGGTTTAACAATTTCTTACATAACATTCTGAAAATCACATAATCTGAAGTGATTTGGCAACGTTTGGCACACGCCCACAATTCGTTCCATCTTTCAACACAGACATTGACAACCTTCGGCCTTCTGTCAAAGGGTTCATCTCACTCACTATTCCATGACCACCATTTTGTGCAATCATCAAGTGGCTTCACGATGTAATGCTCTAATGTTTTTTAAATAATTTTTAACCTGTTTTTAACTTGTTCTTGTCATATTTTATATAATTTTGACCATTGTACCATCTATCCAGCTCTCACCATGTTACTGGACGTTTCCCTCATCCTATACGTAAACAACAATTAGCAGCACCCTCACATACTACTGTAAGTTGAGTCAATTTAAATTCATTTTACACTTTTGTTACTACTGTTATAATTGTAATTGCAGCTCCTGATGATGATGGCAAAGTCCATTGAAAGCTAGAGAGAATTAAAAAAGTATAAAGAATCCTCTTTGCTTAAATTTTGTCGAAGTACCCAACAAAAGGCGGAAGCTTTAATTTTTCACCTATATACATATATATATATATACAGGGTGACTTTGAAGTTGAGTCATTAATTTTCAGATAGTGATTGTAGAAGGAAGATAAACCAAAATATGTCTGTAAAAATAAAAAAAAAATAAAATTTTTTTTTTACCTTGTTTTATAAAGTATCCTCCCGACAAGTATTTCAGTGCGGACCTGTATTTGATCGTGAGGTCTTGGAGCACCGGCATGCAGTCCTCTGTGAGGTTTTAAGTCACCTGATTCACGAGCCCGTTGTACTACATTAACAAAGGCACGAGGGGTTGGTTGCACTCGATTGGGAAACCGATCCGCATAAATATGTGCCATTTTTTATTTCGTTTGAGCCACGCAGCAATCACCTGAATAGTGTTACCGACTGACACAGACTGAATAAAAACATCGTGACCAGCGTTTCAAATTCTTTCGCTTTTTTGTTTCCGATGCGATGAACCGATAAGGCGGAGTATATCCGTTGTCGCCAAACACGAGCACATAATATTATTATTGAGACAGGGCGGTACTCAAACTTCTAAAGGGCTATAACTTTGTTACTTTAATTTTACCACAAAAATGTTAAAGGAAAAAAACATTTCTTTTGATCAGATCTACTCACTGTTAAAATAAATGACTCAACTTCGAAGTATATATATATATATATATATATATATATATATATATATATATATACAATTAATTGTTAATTGGGAAGTTGGCAAATTTTTAGGCTTAAGTTGACTCTTTTGACGATAAAATCAAGCTTTCGGCGTTCTCTATGGAGCATTCATCAGGATTCTGGAAACACAATTGTGATGCTAGCAAAGAATACAGGACAGATTTAAATTGTCAAACAACTTACTTGTTGTTGAGGTTGCAGCCACAAGGTGTTTCAAAACGAACGTAAAGAAGATAGAACTTGTTATAAATATAAAAACAAAAGGACGGAGACTTAGGGCTTGTTGATAACAACAGATACCTTCGTGGAGAGGGGGACGGAACGGAAAGATAATGCGTCGACAGATGACAAGTGATTGACGCGACGGAACGTGGAACTGTAAACCTCATTGTTCAATTTGGGTATGAAGTATACGAGGGACGCTCGGTAAACCTCCACCCAAATTACTAAAATGCTGAATTAATTTGTTTTGGAAAAATGTTTAGTTCATATGAGTGAGAGAATTTGAGATAGTTTTACACACTTGAAAAGATGGGTTATGTGAGTTTATATTAAAGATTGTGAGTGAGAAATTTCAATTACCAGGATAGCAAGGCCAAGGTCGAAGAAGCTGTGTAGTTTTTGTTGTACTGGGTAGGGGGTTATAAATGTTACATCTATAGTATAAATCCAAGATTTTATATCATTAAGAAGCTTCTGATCTTGGTAACAACGAAAAAATTAGATAATAAAGGTCCTATGTACAGGGTGTCCGCAAAGTTGGGGTTTTCCTTTTCAGAAACAACTACCCTTGAAATAACAAAGGTAATGTGTAGTGAAACGAGGGCGACCAAGTAAAAAAATATAAAGGAAAAAGTACTCACTCTCCAGTTGACGAGAAGGGGTCTCTGCCTGAAATCGAAAGTTATTCACCCCATTACGCGTGAACGTAGATTCGTCTGTCACCTATATGCACTTCAAAAAGTCCGGATTATTGTCATGTTGATGCAACAACCACTCACAAAACCGCACTCTTGCTGGAAAATCGTCAGGTTTAAGGGCTTGTACACGTTGGACGTTTACCACACTTTATTTTTTGATACTTGCACTTCTCTAGCCACGTCTCTAGTGCTTGTTGAGGGACTCTCGTCTACGCGATTCAGTAGTTCTTCCTCAACTTGCACCATTCGTGGTTGTCTAGGCCTCCCACTGTGCCTACCTCGAAATTCCTCCAAATGGCCCGTATCCCTGACTCTCTGATACACAAATCTGCGGGGCCTTGGATGATGTCGTCTAGGGAAACGATCTGCATACACTCGCGACGATTCTGTATCATTTTGAAGACATTCGCCATAAATTAACAACATATCAACGAGTTCATTATTGGTGTATGAATGTGCCATTATTATTTTTTTTTGAAACGCAATCGATTATACGGGTTCGTTACCTCTATACGCTCGACCCTTTACCGTCGGTTGAAGGTTGCACACTGACCCCGACCCCCGACCCAGTTCTGTCGTCGGGTTCAGCTAGTAGCCGTTACCAGTCTGAGATATCGCGGGTCGCGGCTACAGGACGGTATTCAGATATTTTTGATGTTGCAGAGCCCTTTATCTCGGTTCCTTTAAGACATTGGTGTATATGGTACTAAGAAAAATTGCTTATGTTTTCAAGATCTACACGTCGTGTAAAGGAAAACCCCAACTTTGCGGACACCCTGTATAATGTCATAATTCGGAATATCTTTCAATCGGCGTTACGTGCGCGACCCGATACTGCGATGTTGCATCGTCGTGGCGGCCACTGCGAATGTAGCAAGCGCAATAAATAGGTAACAAAGTAGAACTCGATGTCGACAAGGACACACCGCTGCAGGGGAGTATTTATAAATTTTAGGAATATTTGGCTATTAGGAGCACTTACCACTTCAGCGGTGTGCGATGCTTTCATTATTTAATTTTTTTTGTTACACATATTCTTAGCTAACTTTTTCCTCAGGGAAGCTAACTTGAGCCGTACATGATCCTTTATGGATTAACTAATGATAGGGTTGCGTGGGAACTGCTGAATCAACCTGCTGGAACATTCTATTTCAAACGCGATCAATTCTAATACGCTGCTCAAAAATACTCGATTAAAATAAATAAAATGGTATAGTCGATAAAGAGGTACTTAAATTGTATAACAATCTTAAAATTGATTCGGTTTAGGAGACCGAATCTTTTTGATGTCACTCTATGGGAAGTAAAATGTTTCCTTCTTGAACGTTTTTCGAAAACGATCAACTACAGTAGGTATAGTTTTTAAAGTATTTGAAACCGAATCTTAAAAATTGATTATGATGGCCAAACGACCGCGATTTCTTATACTATACCAATTATTCTTGAGCTTTTCATTAATATATCTACCTGCAGGCGATCTTTTTTTTTTTCAGAATATTTTCCAGTATGCCATCTTTCGGTTTATGAAACATTCGGATAAAGGAAACCTACTGGCTATCATTAAGACGTAGTTTCATATCAAGACATGATAGAAACATTAGTATCTTTCTATTTAACTTCCGATATTAACTATTTTCTGTCTCTTTTTCAGGTAGGTAACTTAAAATTTCCAGTCGATTTCGCGTCTCTGTTCACCAACAAGGCAACGACGACCATCGGTAAGTGTTTCATCTTTTACCCGGTAGCAAAGCAGTTTTTATAAAGGAGGAAAGAGTAGATATATTTTTGATGGGATTTGAAAAAGGCAGTAGCAGCAGCATCAGAACTTTATAAGGAATTTATGGGTTCCATTTCCTGAATAGAACCGAAATTCGCCATGCCACGACTACTCTTTTTACTATTTTTCTATTGATTACTTGATATCCTTAGGTATACATACTATGAGACGATAATACTGATGCAGTCATTTTAGATTTTACTCTCCAGTAGATGATTGAGGCCGAAAGCAACTCCTCCCGGGAGGGGGGGGGGGGTGAAGGGATGGTTTGTGTAGTGGGGTAAGGGGCGGGGTGTGTTTAAATTCCGACTCCTCTCAATGACCATCCTCATATCAACAAAAACGTCTCGTTTAATAGAAATGTGGAGTCGACGGGCGATGTAATCCATTGTTGCCCTCCCAATCACCGTGTGTGGTGCGATATTTTTTGTAGACTACCTAAACTCTTGTATGCACCTGTGCAGTAACGTAATCTAACTCTCCTCAGGTAAATAGCTCGACGGAACCCATGGTGGTGCGGTGTGGTAAGGGCCGGTGAGGTAAGGGGCGGGGGTGTTTAAATTCCAAGTGCTAATCCTCATAGCATCGAAAACGTGTTGTTCGACAAATTTGTATCGTATAAATAGCTCGAGAAAGGCACTTATCAAGAACTGTAAAACATTTTCGTGCTTCTGTCCTCAGATCATAAACGCGTTTATAATAGAAAAGGAGTCGTCGATGGAAGGTGTTGTTAAGGCATTGTTGTCCTCACAATGGCCATGCCGATTGTAAAGTCTCTCAGCTGTTCGGTGCAGAACAATTGAAATGTTGACTATATATTTTTTTGTGGCCCACCCGAAATTTATCTGGGGGTCGGGTTGTTCAAATGTCTTAGGGTGTGCAGCGGTGCTGTAAGGTAATCTAATTCTGCTAGTTATTATATAAATGGTGAAACAACAACAGCTTTGATCATTCAAATTCAGCCATTTAACATCGATAAGTGACTAAATAATATTCTTGAAGTACCTAACAGATAGAATTTGGTAAGCATCATTTTATATTATTTATCCAACACTATATTTATTTTTTAAATAATGTCTATCACTACCTCAGCCTTGCATGAAATAAACAATAAAATAAATTGCGAATCTGACAACAATATACCATCTAGAACATTATCATCATTAACTGTAAACAAATCTTATCCTATTAAGAATATTTCAAGTATTCAATCAAAGTTTGGGCAATGCCTAGTAGCAACCCTTCTTGATTCTGATTCTGACCAGTTTAGGGTTTGGCTACCTAAAAGAGTGTTGGAAAACATGCCCGAAATTATGATTAAACCGTTACCATGGTACCATCTAACCGTTACAGTCAGTGCACAAAAACTGTAACATATGAATTATAGCATAACCCGCTGCCCTATCAACACAACATACAGCTCGCCCAGCCGTGGGGATGCAGTTGCCGGGATGAATATCGCGGCAGCAACTGATGATTTGGGCTTGTCTGGTAACATCGTATGAAGTGAAACTGGCTAACTTCACAAATTTGAGGATTTTGTACAATTTCTTTGAAAATGATGAAAGATATGTCTGATTTGGCAGGGTAATGTCGCAGCCAAATGGCAGTCACTCTTTCTGACACAGTCCGGATCGAAAGATGACGATACTCGTGAAATGTATTGATACTTCTAAATATAGGATCCTATCGAACATCCTTATTGTGAAGATGTATAACCCGAGGTACCGACGGAGCTATTTTGCGGCGTCATGGAAATAATTTTAAATTTTCATTTGCATTCCCAAGTGTTGTGCAACGATTTTGGGAAAAATTTCACGAATACTCTTATAAAGCATAGCAGAGTATATTTCAACAGTTGGCGGAGCGTACTCCACTGGGACCAGGGGGGTGAAATGGGATATTAATGCACATCTGGCAACCATGTCGCACCCTCACAAAATGGCCGCTGACAACTACACACGTCACCGTTCTGTCATTGAATAGCATGGAATTAAACCTTCTTCAGAGTATATGTTTCGTGACTGGGACCAAGGGTTGACAGATTCCACACATGTGTCACTCGATGAGTCTTGAAATGCAATAATCAGCTGTATTCAAATAATGTCTAATATAAATATAACCTAGAATGTGTATTCGTGAAAAAAGAAAAATATGGTAAATTTGTAGTTTTTTTGCAGGTTTTAGGTTTGCTGGTAGCTTTAAGGCATATATTTGGGAATTTCTTAATCGCTGTGAATATATTGTGGATGTTTGTTCAGTTCCTGAACAACGAAAAATATTCAACTTTATGGATGTATGGATATCAAAAAACCTGAATGGTTTTGTGGGAATATCAATCTAAGGTGCCATAATGGTTCTGATGAACGGCAACTAAATGAATGAATGTTTGGAAACGAGCAATATCTTTTGGTAGAGCCTGTTATCAAGTAGGTGCTTAATGGCTATATGCAAGAGGTTTATAGGACAAAACACCCAGTTGAATCAGTAAAATCGCATATCAATTGACGGACTGTTACCCTATAGGTAGAGAATAACGGACTGTTGATTTGACAACCTTTGTGAAATCGACCCTTAATTGCTTATTATTTAGTCTTATGCCGAAATTAGAATTTCTGAAAACATTAGAATCACTGCCTGCACCATATGCTACCACGTCTATCGCAATGAAACACTAGTCGGCGTCAACTACACCCAGAAGAATTGTCGAGCAATAATTTTTATAGTTGTAAAATTATGTGCCGGTCTTATCAGGTTTCTTTAATCTTAAGTGCTTCCCGGCCACAGCTCGAATACAATTTGGAAAATCAGTTCTATCATAAAACTGTGTGGCAATATTCAACCAACTGTTTTCAGCTTAAACTCTGGTTGTACACATATCCAAATTTATTCACAGATGTCTTTAACAATTTCTCTGACTGTAGTAGCTCCTAGTAGGTATTCAAAGTGTGAAGAATTGAAACTATTACCAGTGGCTAGATATCCGAAACAAAAAATTGTATCAATAAAAATAATAATTACATGTTTGTTCAAATTTAACAATAATTGGCTTCATATTGCAGGAAAAGAAATACAGAAAAAGTGGAAGAATCTGAAGGACTGCTTTGCAAGGAACTTGCAGTTCAACGAAAAGTGAAAAGTGGTGAACCTGCAAAAAAAAGAGGAAAATACATCTATTTCGATTTGTTGTTATTTCTGCTTCCTTCCATGAATGATCGACCTACAAGTAGTAACACTGCACCTATAGAAAATACCAACGACAATATCCAAGAACAGGACACGCCCACTCAGCGTCCTAATTTGCAAGACAACAATGAAGATCAATGAACACACCAACGCGTCGTCCTAAGAAAACACCACAAAAAATAACGTCGTACGAAAGCTCTCTATTAAGCATGCTTCAACAAAAGCAAAACGAAGAGATCGACTAGAACAAGCAATTTACTTTAATGCTTGTCCCCATGCTACAAAAACTTAGCGACGAACAAAAACATTACGCTAAAATAGAGATCCTGAATGTAATGAAATATGCCAGGAATTACTATGCTCCGCCAGTTGTTCACTATCCTGACATGACCCGTAGAGCTAGCTACCAACCGCCTTCGCAGGTACTTCCATGCTCCAATTGTCAGCCATCGTGACACCAGAACATTCACAAACCGTTTCGCAGTCATCAAGACATCCACAAACCACCGTTTCGCAGAATTCAGAATGTATTCGCAATTTTCAGATGGTATACTATGTCCCACGGCAGGTTCCTCCTCATGTGACTACTCTATGAGATTATCACAGACATTGTCATCTGCACCCTCTGATTCTAATAATGAGTTGTTTGACTTGTCAAATCAATAACATAAAATTGGTATGAGAATAAAACCATTTAAAAAATAGTGTATATTTATACTTACCTCAATCTGACCGATAAACGCTCTTCAGGTGGCACAGAATTTCTCCACTTAGTGTTTTGATATGTTACGAGCCCCTTCCCACTTCAGTTGGCCCACTTCAAGATTTGTACCAAAATATGCCTTCTAAACATGACGAAACTGGTTACTTCTAAAACAATTTATTTTCTCAAAAACATTTTAGGTACACTCTAATTGTAAAAAATACATACTTAGACCTATAACTAATAAAACATCTGAACAAATAAACAATCTGCGATTGAATGCGCGAAGTTAACAAAGCAACAATTGAAAGATTACCATTGGGTAACATCACCTTTATTTTTTATTACGGCTGAAATTCTTTGGGGCATAGTGTTAACCAAGTTTTGGCAAACATTTGGTGTAAAACAATCCCATATTTCTTGAAGCTTTTGTCTCAGTTCGGTGATTGTACGAGCAGGATGTTGTCGTAGAACCATTTTCATCTCGTGCTACAAAGTTTCAATAGGTGAAAGATCTGGACTGCTAGAAACCCATTTCTAAAGTGGTACATTATTTTCTTCCATCCATTTTATAGCCTTTTTTGAGGTATGGCACGCTGCACCATCTTGCTGAAACACAAAATCTTGGCCGGATGTCAAACATTCTTCCGTCACTGGTAAAAGCGATTCTTCTAAAATTGCCAAATATTGGATGCTGGAAATTTCACTTTTCTCTTCAGACAGTCAACATGGAATGCTTAAGTTTTTGCGAATAACTCTACTGCGACTGTCAGCAATACAAACTTCGAATTGGGCCTCATCACTCCATTGTATTGCACACCATTGTTGAGGTGTCCATTGTCTATGTTCTTTAGCCCATCTAAGCCGATTTTTCTTTTGCAGTGGAGTTAATAGTGGCCTTTCTTTGGCCTATAAACAAGTTGTGCAACTTCAGGGTTTTTACTTCACTTTTTTTTATAAGAAAACTTACCTTGCAAGTGCTAAATCCCAGTTTGTCGGCCTCTCTATGAGTTGTGGACCTCGAAATTCTCCTTCAAACAGCGTCACTCCACAGAGCACTTAATTGTAAATAATTGGCACGCTATTTATTTACAGTCAATCGTCTCGAAAAATCAACATTTGCAGAGAGAATCGTATTTTTCCTAGGTGACATCTATAAATTATGATCAGGACCGTCTGACATTATAAAGCCCATTCAGTGCGGTGTATATCATTAACGATATAGTTCACAGCCTGGATTGGCTTCACTTAATTACTAAAGACGAGAATTGACGTCGGCAATAACGAAGGAAAAGGGGGCCAAGCCGAGGAGACACAAGTTTTCATCCTCATTTTACTCCGATAGTTCTCTTTTCGGCGTCAGTCGAGAGTGGCTACAAAAGGGTTTATTTATCACTTGGTCGTACGGCATCCGTTTGAATTAGATCCTCCGCGCAGTTTGGTCCTGATGAATAGGGACACCGGCACCGACCCTCTATTACCGGTGGACAACATGGAATACGGTTCTTCTGTTTACTCGCAGCAGGTTTAGAAACCCAACCGAGAGTGAATGGCCAGGAAAACGCTGATATAATGGTGTTAATCCGGGAATCTTTTCATTCGAAAAATCATTCAGAAACATGGGCAGCGACCCTTCGACCTTTTAACTTAATATAAAATGATATCAAATATTACAGTATCAAACGTTTCTAAAATTCATTGGTATGCGTTGACATTTTTGGTAAGTTTACAAAAAATACTTCCTCGCCAGTAAGCGTGGGCAGTAAAATTATACGAAACTTTAAGGATTTCCAAACACAATAAGCAAAACGTCACTTCAAATCAAATATGTCGACCGCCGCAAAATGGCGTTTATAATTTCCATAGTTATCAATATGATGTGGTTATCGACTGAAAGGGCTTGATGAGAGATATACAGTAAGCAACGTGACGTCATTCTAGATCCAATATGGCGGCCGCCTCAAACTACCGATTTATAACTTCCATAGTCGCCTTCATATTATAGATATTAAAAGGAAGGGATTGATGAAAATAAACACAATAAGCGAAGTGACGTCATCCTAATCCAATATGATGGACGTTTAATATGACAATTGACAATGCAATATTATCATGACATGGAGATGATCTGATGATGAAGCCAGGAAGTGGCCATGGGAACCAATCGAATGAAGCCTCGCTTGATTCCTAATGACAAGTACTCTAGTCTTACGGTCTGATGATTAAGTTAGCTAGATATTGTGTAAAAAATACTCGTCTGTAATAATTATATCAAATTTCAATTCTCGAACATTAGTTCGCTGAAATATAGGTTCAATCAACTGGGCAAGACTACTTAATAAATATACGTATTTACAAGAATTTGTTATATTTTTTGTTTCTTTTATGCATCTTATGCATTTAATCTTAAAATATGCATACATATGAATAATTAGTTTTGCTTACGCCAATAAAACAAGTAGCAAAGACCTTATGTGAGTTATTCTCGTTTTTTTTCACACGTTCTAATTTATATTATCCGTTTAAATTTGGCAGTATGATATTCAATTTCTCAGAAAATTATCTCACCACTTCATATATAAATTCAATATTTCTGTCTATTTTCTTCTTTTTGAAAATCTCACTTTTCTCACGCACACTTCATTTTTTGGCCGCCAGCACCCCTGCTGTATCTCCGCCGCCACTGATTTGATTTTCCAAACTTACAATGCTTTTTCGTGCTGCGATTAGTACCAACTTTGTTTCAAAATTTTATCAAAATTCAAGCAGAACTTTCCAAGTTATAGAGGGAGAAGAATCGGCGAATAGACAGATGACAGACTGACGGAATCAATTCACATGCTTGTATAGTTTTTATGATCATCATATAACATCCAAAAAAAAAGACATTATCTCATTGTCGAAATGTTGCGTGATTAGAATGCTTCCTCGCCAAGGGATGTGGAAAATAAAAGCAGATTTCTTCGCATGCTTGTTTCTATAAATCGGTCTTAACCCAGATATGCCTACAGATCAAATAAATTATAATAAAGTATGTTCTCTGCAAATTCATTCTATAGGAAGCAAATATTAAACAAATTTATTATTTTTTTAAATTTTATTTTAGGAAAAATTGTAAAAAAATGCCATACAAAAAACATTTTACATGCATCCCTACACTGCACTTAGAGCACCTTGTTTTTGCTCTATCATGACATAAGCCACATCGAGTTGGCTTTTCTTGTGGTATCACAAAATGATCTAAACGATCATAACGAATATCTATATATTCATTAGCCGAAGGACTTCCTCTAGAAAAAGATGGCGGTTTCTTGTTTTGTTGTAACAAGGCTGTGGCAAGCCGCCGTCTAAATAATAATTCATCCATATGTCCTCCGTGTGATCTATAAAGTTGCCAGGAATTATGAACAGTCATATCAATACAGTGGCTGATCAATGAAAAATACCACTTTTTACCCCGGATGAAAATGCGATACAGACCAATATTTTGATCACAACGATCAACGCCGCCCATATTTGCGTTGTATACATTTACAGGATGAGGCTGTTCTACCTAAAATCAAAAGCATTTTTGAAAACATTGATTTTCTTGCTGATTGTGTTTCTTACCTGAATACTTTTTTATTCTTTTGAGAGTCTCGCTTTACAAAGCGAATTGGTTGCAATCCTGCGGCATTTGAACAGACTTTTACTGAATTATTCTCTAGCAGTACCAGTCGCAAAGAAATTTTTTTCTGTCAATTTTACCATAAGAGGGAGAGAAAAAATTGTCTAGAACTAAATGGAATTTTTCATTTGGCCATTTTCTCCTCAGTGCATCAGAATAATCTAATACCACACCAACACCAACCCCCAACTCTTCATAACTCTTACTAATGTTGGTTGACGACCCTTGGTAAGGTTCAACCCAGTAAACGTAGCCTAGTCTTGATGCGCCAACCCATAATTTATATCGTATAGGTTTTCCGTGAATGAACTGTTTGCATGAGTGTCTCCCAAAATAAGGAACCATTGCATCATCTACACTATGCATTTCTGTCAAAATTCCATGTTCCATAAATTTTTGATTCAGGCTCGCAAATAAAGGTCTAACTTTTGCAAACTTATCTCCTTGCTGTAAATTGTAGTTATCTACTAAATGGAAATTTGACATAATGTACTCAAATTTATCTCGTGTAAGAGCTTCTGTGACGAGTTGATTATTAGCACCTCTTTCACGTTCCCAGAACATTCTTCTACGTGGTACATCGACATAACCACTCAATTTTAGTGTTCCAATAAATGCCTTTATTTCATACTCTTGCACCTCTTGTTATATTGTCATATCTATTTGTTTCAGTTGTTATGCGTGTTATAAGTTCGCCGTCAAAAAAAGTGAAAACCATTAAAGTGGAGTCTTAGAAGAATTATTTTGTTCAAGAATTTCTTCGAAGTTTCCTGGAACTTCTTGTGGTAGATCTCCTTCACCCATTTGTACGTTTTTCGTTTCTTTAGCTTTTTATTTTTTTAGCCAATTCAGACAATGGAATATTATCTTCGGAATCAGATGAAGATATGCCAAATTTTTCATGAGGTATGTTTATCTCAGCAGGTGCTTGTAATTGTGAACCCGGTAGATTATCAGCTGACATTACATTCTCATCGCCGGAGTCCTCGTCTGTGAGAATGTCACAAGCATTGGTTGGAGGCATCAACGTATATTATCCACATTTGCTACTACATCTGCATTACCCTCCAGCATAGCAAGGGCAGAGAAAAGCCCGTAAAAAGAAAACAGGCATGTATTTTCCTGGCGTACAATATTTTGCACACTCAAATATAATGACGCAATTGTGAATCCGAAATAATAACATAAGTAATTTGGCATTATAACTGAAAAAAAGCATGTGTGTTTTATTGGTAGAAGCAATCAATATATTTTTTTTATTTACGTGAAGACCATATATTTACTTACTTGGCAAATCGTATTCCATATTCAGCCATGTCACAAAAAATAAAAACTTCTTCACAAAATCGCAAAAAATCTCAATACAACGATAACACCCAACGGCACGTTACGATTT